TTTTTGCTTATCCATAAGTAATTTAAAACTTAGAATTATGGTCACCATTCCAGAACTCTTCCTCCACTGACATTTTGGTCACCTGGCCAGGCTCATTCCCCAATACCAGGTCTCGTATGGCCCCTTCCCAGGTCGAACTATTTGACAGTGTTTCAAAAAAAAAAAAAAAGTGTATTGGATTCACCTAACAAATTCTTTCCCATCCAAGGCCCTGCTGCTAAGCAAGTCCCAGTCAATATAGGGGAAGTTAAATTCACCCACTACAACAACCCTGTTGTTTCTACATTTTTCCATATTCTATCCAAGTATCTTTTCTTCTATTGCCACTGGGTGTTAGGAGCCTTGTAGAGCAATCCCAAAGTGATTGTACTCTTCCAATTCCTGAGCTCTATCCTTATGGCTTCACTGAATGAGCCTTCCAAGGTGTCCCCTCTCAGTATAGCTGTGATATTCTCCCTAATCAGTAAGGCAGCTCCCCCACCTCTTTTACATCCCTCTTTATCTCACCTGAAACATTTAAATCTGGAACATTAAAGAACAAAGAACAAAGAAAATTACAGCACAGGAACAGGCGCTTCGGCCCTCCAAGCCTGTGCCGATCCAAATCCTCTATCTAAACCTGTTGCCTATTTTCCAAGGATCTTTATCCCTCTGCTCCCTGCCCATTCATGTACCTGTCTAGATACATCTTAAATGACACTATCGTGCCCACCTCTACCACCTCCGCTGGCAACACGTTCCAGGCACCCACCACCCTCTGCATAAGAGCTTTCCATGCATATCTCCCTTAAACTTTTCCCGTCTCACCTTGAAATTGTGACCCCTAGTAATTGAGTCCCCCACTCTGGGGAAAAAGCTTCTTGCTATCCACCCTGTCTATACCTCTCGATTTTGTAGACCTCAATCAGGTCCCCCTTCAACCTTTGTCTTTCTAACGTAAATAATCCTAATCTACTCAACCTCTCTTCATAGCTAGCGCCCTCCATACCAGGCAACATCCTGGTGAACCTCCTCTGCACCCTCTCCAAAGCATCCACATCCTTTTGGCAATGTGGCGACCAGAACTGTACGCAGTATTCCAAATGTGGTCGAACCAAAGTCCTATACAACTGTAACATGACCTGCCAACTCTTGTACTCAATACCCCGTCTGATGAATGAAAGCATGCCATATGCCTTCTTGACCACTCTATCCACCTGCGTTGCCACCTTCAGGGTACAATGGACCTGAACACCCAGATCTCTTTGTATCAATTTTCCACAGGGCTTTTCCATTTACCGTATAGTAAATATAGTAAGCTGTTAGTCTTGTCCCTCTCTCAACCAAGTCTCTGTAATAGCTACTTCATAATTATTTATATTAATCTAAGCTGTAAGTTCATCTGCCTTGTCATACTCCTTGAATTAAAAGAAATACATCTCAGACCGCCATTCCCACTGTGTTCAGTAACCTCCCTATTTGTTGTTCTTCTTAGTCTTACCGACAACAGTCTAGACTCCACCTCAGTCATTTAACTTACGGACCTACTGTTCTGGTTCCCGCTCTCACGCCCCTCCACTCTTCTCTCCACTCCCCCACACTATTTTAAACCCTACTGACTGACACTAGCAAACCACTCTGCCAGGTACTGGTATCTCTGCAGTTCAGGTGCAAGCAGTTATCTATTAGTTGGTTCTTATAGTATTTATTCAGTTGCTTGGGTGTACGTTTTCCTAAAATATCGTACTTTTATTTAATACCAGCACCAAGAATAGAAACCACAAAATCAGAGTAACTAATTGAACAGTAAGGGTATTACAGCCCTCACCTATAAAAACACAAGGCAGTCAGTCAGTTGTTCTAAATACAAAAAGGAGGGAAGACATGGAGGCTAGGGAATGAAAGTAAATAAACATTGCTGTCTTCAAAACACATTACAGAAGGGGAAGTGTGTAGGTTTTAAAAAACAAAGGTGGATAAATCTCTAGGATAAAAAGCGTATCCCAGGACATTGTCAGAGCCGGGTAAGAAATTGCATGGCTATCTGTATCAAGTACACTCACGGGTGAGGTGCCAGAGGACTTCAGGGTGGCCAATACTGTGCCTTTATTTAAAGGCTGTAAAGAGAAGCAAGGAAACTACAGACCATGGAGTCTTTTTGAGAATGTGACCAAAAAGATAGATGAAGGCAGAGAGGTAAGTGTTGTCTATATAGACTTTAGTAAAGCCTTTGACAAGGTTCCACATGGTAGAATGGTTAATAAAGTTGGATCACCTGGGAATCACGAAGATCCTGCCAAGTGCATACAAAATTGGCTTGATGGTACATGACAGAGGGTTGTTTTTTGGACTGTAGGCCTGTGACCAGCAGTATTCCACAGTGATCAGTCCTGGGTTCCCTGTTGTTTATCATAAATTGTCATATAAATATTTGTATGAGAACTTAGGAGGTATGGTTAATAAGTCTGCAGATGACATCAAAATTGGTGGTACAGTGGACAATGAAGAATGTTATCTAAGATTACAAGGGGACTTTGATCAATTGGGCAAATGGTCTGAGGAGTGGGTGATGGAGTTTAATTTGGATAAATACAAGGTGTTGCAGATTTTGGTAAAATGAACAAGGGCAGGACTTATAAAGTTAATGGTAGGGCATTGTTGTCAAACGAGACCTGGGGGGTTCAAGTGGCTCTTTGAAAGTTGTGTCACAGGCAAACAGGGTAGTTAAGAAAGCGTTCAGCAGCTTGCCTTCATTGCTCAAAACTATTAAGTATAGGAGTTGGGACTTCACATTGCAGTTGTACAGGACGTTGGTGAAGCCACTTTTGGAGTACGGTGTTCAGTTCTGGTCATCCTGCTTTAGGAAGATTATTATTAAATGGGAGAGGGTTTCAAAAAGATTTAAAGGATATTGCTGGGACTGGAGGGTTTGAGTTAGGTGAGGCTGGATAGGCTGGGGCTTTTTTCCACTGGAGTATAGGAGGTTGGGAGGGGGAGGGAAACCTTATAAAAAAGGTTCATAAAATCATGAGGGCATAGATAAGGTAAATAGCAAAAGGTCTTTGCCCTAAGAAAGGGAGTTCCAAACTCGATGGCATATTTTTAATGTGAGAAGAAAAAGATTTTAAAAAAAAGACAACTTTATCCACACAGAGGATGTTTTTGTATGTGGAATAAGCTGCCAGAGGAAGTGGTTGATGCAAGTACACTTACAATACTTAGAAGACATTTAGACAGGTACGTGAATAGGAAAGGTTTAGATGGACATGGGCCAAATGGCTAGTTTGGGAAACTTGGTTGGCATAGACAAGTTGGACCCAAGGTTCTGCTTTTGTGCTGTATGACTCTGACTTTATGGGGCTTGGGGTGTTGGGAAAAAAGGGGAAAAAGAGGAACATTTCCTTTTTTCCCCCCCAAATCAGAATTTAAATGCTCATCATAGTAAGTCATCCCAGCCTATCCAACCTTCTCTTTATAACTCAAACCCTCCACTCCTGGCAACAATTACATTTGGAAATGATCAGAGCAAATTAGTCAATTTCCAAGTGTTAAATAAAAAAAGAAATGCTTTAATTAATTTCACAATTAAATATGTAAATTATAGAATTCTTATACAAAGATTAAAAGGCTATAGGGTGCTGCACTAGAAAATGTACAGAAAAAGATTCACCAGAATGTTGTCTGGTCTGGTCTGGTCTGGAGTGATTCAGCTATGAAGAAAGACTAGATATGCTGGGGCCCTTTTCCTTAGAACAGGGAAGGTTGAGGTTAAAGGGTCTGACTGCGGTTCAGAAAGTTCCAAGCTGCATATATGGTACAGACGCAGAAACAAAAAAAAGTGCTGAAGAAACTTGGCAAGTCTGGCAGCATCTCTACAGAGAAAAACAGCTGATGTTCCAGATCTCTGGACTCAAAACATTTCCCTTGCTTTCTCTCTACAGATGTTGAGTTTCTCCAGCACTTTGTTTTTGTTTCAGATTTCCAAAACCTGCAGATTATTTTTAATTGATCGCGAGAAATTTTTCTCCCAAGTAGAAGGGTCAACAACCAGGAGGCACAGTTCTCAGGTAAGGAACAGGAGGTTTAAAGAGGATATGAGGAAACTTTTTTTCACTCATAGGACAGAGGAGGCAGGAATCATTAAAACATTTAAGAAGCATTTAAAATGAGCAGTTGAAATATTACAATATTCAGGCTGGAACATGGGATTAGAATAAATAGATGCTTGCTGATCAATATGGACATGATGCATCGAAGGCCCATTTTCCATTCTGTAAACACAGTATGGCTCTTTAAATTTATCATGTGGAACATACATTAAAAAAAAACTGTTACAGTTGGTGACACCCTCCAAATTCTTTTGTGGAGTTACATTTAAATGTTAGGGCTGTGAAAACTGGAACAGCCATTTTAACAGCCCATGCAATAAAAACAAAATGCTGGAGAAACGAAGCATCTAAAAACAGAAAAGATCAAACTCTTCAAAAAAAGGATGGCTTCTCCTTGTCCAGATGCTAGCAGACCAGAATATTTTACCATTTAAGTTTTAAATTTCTGGCCCTCAACAGTTCTAGCAAAACGTCTTCAGTCCTAATTATTAACTGTTTCTCTGCAAATTTTGTCTGGCCTGCTACAGAACATGCAAGTCTCAAGTTCAGTTCCCAAACTCAGATTCTGGCAGCAGTTAACCTAAATGTCTGTGTTTAAGGAAGTGGAAAGAAGCAAACAACTTGGACTGATCATCACAACTGCTGCTCAATGACTTCTGTTAGAGACTATTCCACATGAACCACAGACTTGCGATATTATTATTTTTGCTACAGTAGACCAGGCTACCAGCACATCGAGAAATATGCAGCAAGATATCAACACTTGGGTAACTTGAGAGAGCACTCAGCATGATCAATAACTTTTAGATAGCAGAAGTGAAAATTGCAGGACTGATAGAAGTATTAGTTACCTAACTGCACAAAAGAATACCTAAAAACAAAAAAGCCTTTTTAAAATAAATTGAGTTTTACCTTTGACAGAAGTGATGACTACAGCGGACTACAACATGCATACAATGAATTGCCACAATTCCCATGAGCACAAGACTGACCGGTCCTAGCTGAAAGAGACACAGTGTTTTAAGAGGAATTTGTAATGTCAGTGAATATATTTACAAATTCATCTATTCTGTAACTTATAAATCAACATTCGGTTGTTATTCAATTTCAATATAGCGCAAGTTGCAATCAAGCTCAAATAAGAAGTGTTAATATCATTGATTGAAAGGTAAAATGTCAGCTGATCAAAAAGATCTGGCATGGATATGCTTAATAAACCTGATTGAAATTTATGAAGATGTTAGCTAAGGGAGAGGAGAGAATTTCTGAACATTAACAAGTGCTTTCTGGAAGTCCATGTAAAGTTCTTCGAAATAAGCTGTGTGAGTTGAAACTTAAGTTCATGGAGTTGTAGCAAACTACTGACCTGGTTAGAAAATTTGGCTCAGTGATAGGAGACAGAACAAGGTTTAACAGCAGACACTAATTTGTAGGAGATAGTAGGAAATGCAGATGCTGGAGAATCTGAGATAACAAGGTGTAGAGCTGGATGAACACAGCATCAGAGGAGCAGGAAGGCTGACGTTTCGGGCCTAGACCATTCTTCAGAAAAAAGGTCATTTAAGGGGGTAACATATTAGCTGGAAGGATTTGTCAACTAACAGAAGACAGCGTAAGGATAAATAGGTCTTTTTCAGGAAACAAGCTGTAACTAAAGACTATATCAATAAACAGTACTAAACGTATAGTAACTAAATTTGTCAATGACACCAAGATAGATAGGAAACTAAGTTATCCAGAGTGATGAGCCTGTGGAATTCACTCACAAAAAGAGGTTGTGGCCAAAATATCATATGTTCTCAAGAGGGAGACTAAAAAAAGGGGTCAAAGAATATGTGGCGGAGGGCGGGATTAGGGTATTGAGCTCAATGATCACCCGTGATCGTAAGGAATAGCAGAGCAGGCTCAAGAGGTTTAATGGCCTATTCCTGCTCCTATCTTCAATGTTTCTATGTCAGAACAAGAGGTGGTCAAGTGTCTGCAAAGGGATACAAACAGTTTAAGTGAATGGGCAACAAACTTGGCAAATAGAGTATACCATTTGTGTATGTGAACTTACCCATTCTGTTATAAAGACAGAAAAGCTGATACTATTTAAATGGAGAGAGATTGCAGAACTGAGTGGTACAGAGGGTTCAAGGTATCTGGCAGCAGAATCACAAAATTTGCATGCAGGTAGCCAAGTGATTAGGGTGGCAAATGCAATGCTGTTGTTTATTGCAAGGAATCAAGAGTCATACAGAAGTTTTACTGCACTTATTGATGTTGGTACATCTGGAGTACTGTGAACAGGTTTGGTGTGTTCTTTAGAAAAACAAAGAATAAAGTTACACTAGAATTAGTTCAGAGAATATTTACTCAACTCATTCCTTATTTACGATTTTATAAAAAGGTTGCAGATGTTCAGGAGACAGAAAGTGATCTTGTAGAAACACACGATCTTCAGGCAACTGGATAAAGGTGGACACCAGGAGGATGTTTCCTCCTGCAGAAGAGACTGAAACTAGCAGCTAATCTTTAAAAAAACTTTCCCTTTAAGACAGAGATTAAAAGATTGTTTTCCCTCTCACAGGATTGACAGAGCATGGAATTTTCTTGCCAGAAGGTATTGGAAGCTTGACCTTCATGTTCATTCACAGCTGAGAGAGATTTTTGGTAGGCAAAGAAGACAAGGGCAATGGGGTGCAAGTTATGATATGATTGAATGGTGGAACAGCTCTAAAAAGAGTTAGGTTAATGATCAGGCACTCTTTCATCAAGTGACTAAAAGTGACCTCTCCTTAAGCCCACATTGATTGTAGTAATGTCTGTAATGGTCAAAGAATCAACAAGTTATTATATCTGCTTTTCCTTATGGGTATAGAAAATGAGTGATTCTAAAAATGAACATGGAAGAAAGCTTAGCTTTCTGAACTCACTTTAGGCCTGTAGTATTTAATTTTGAACGAAAAAGGTAACATCATAGAGTCAGAGTAATGCAGCATGGACACAGGCCCTTTGGCCCAATCTGGTCCATGGAATTAGTTGACCATGGTGCCCACTCAACTAGTTCCAATTGCCCGCATTTGGTCCGTATCTCTCTTAAACCCTTCCCATCCATGTACTTATCCAAATGTCACTGGTGACTAATTGTAAACATTACGGTCAACATGACTGAGCAATTATTTAAAACACATCACCTTTAAGTGAGCTGTAACCACAATAGCTCTTGATAATTTCTTGGCAACTTCTATTAACCTTTTCAGTTGTGTAATTGTCATCCAATTAAGATTAGATTCACCATTTCGTAAAAAGTTGCACACATACAAAATATAGATAACCACAGGACAAAAGTCTTAAGTGTTTGTAAATGCTAATTGTTTGCCTCAAAGTGCACCATGATAATATGAATCACATTCATACTTCATCTTGCCACATGCATATAATATCAATAAAGAAAATGACAAATAAATTTCTGGGACTTTCCAAGGTTTAAAAAAAAACTCTTAGACACTGACCTTCTAAATAATGCAAATTAGCTCTTACCATAAGACCTGCATTTTTGACTGCAAGTGGCAAACCTAGGAGCCCAGTTCCAATGTTTCCTTTCAACAAATGAATTAATGTCTGGGTAAACCTGCAATAATATAAAGGGCATAAAATTGTCAAATAAACTGCAGTATTACTGAAATAATAAAAAAGAAGATTAAATTTATATGTTCCATTAAAAAGTTGATTTAATTGAATCATCAACTGAAGAGGAATCCTCTGTAGAAAGATTATTTTGGAAAGAAAGGATTGCACAGTCAACAAAATATCAAATTTATAGTTTAAAAAAAACCTGACTTGTATAACTCTGTTTAGGAACGTCAGCGCATGTCAAGGACCTGTAAGGTCAATGACATACCTTAATAACTGAAATAGACACATGTTGGTATGGCTCTAACTGATGTTATACTGGAGAACTCAGATTCCAGACGGAAATCTGGCTTGAGAGATTTTTTTTTTTGGCTTTAGTGAGGTAGTCTTTCACAAACTCAAAACAGGCAATGCTGCAGATTTCAGCTTAACAATTGAACAGAAACAAAAACAGAAATAACTGGAGAAACTCAGCAGGTCAGACAGCACCTATGGAGAGAAAACAGAGTCAAAGTTTGGGGTCCAGTGACCTTTCTTTGGAGCTCTTACAGAAGAGTGTAACAGACATTTGTTATGCCAATGAAGGTAAAATTTAAGTTTAAAAATTTTGAATGCAAAATAAGATACACATTAATCCCAACAACATCCCATTACTCAAACACCACAGAATTCCCTTCTCTATCCCACAGAGTTTGACTTAGCTGTGGCTTCAATTCCCAGTCATGAGAATCCGATTGCCTCTTCCTTGATTCATAGAATCATCGAATCTAGAATCACTACAGTGCAGGAAGAGTCCATTCAACCCATCGGGTTTGCACCAACCCTCCAAACAGCATCCCATCTTTTCCCAGTAACCCCTGAATTTACTATGGCTAACCTGCATATCCCTGGACACTTACAGGGCAGTTCGCCATGGCCAATTCACCTAACCTGCACATCTTTGGACTGTGGGAGGAAATTAGAGCACCTGGCGGAAATCCACGCAGACAAGGGAAAATGTGCAAACTCTACAGTCACCCGAGACTGGAATTGAACCTGGGACCTTGGCACTGTAAGGCAGCAGTGCTAAACAGTAAGCCATGGTGCCACCCCTGTCATACAGCTAAGTATAAAAACTCTGATTCAAATAACCCTTCAGGGCTTTAACTAAACATTTCTGGTTTGGAACTTTTAGTAAACTCCTTTTATCAAAATAACTTGTTTTAACAATTTTAACCTATCTTGCCCCTTTCACAAGAGTAACTGCTTTACACATTAGGCTTCAGCTAAGAAAACCACAGATCTACCCAAGCTGAAACAAGAAGAAACTTGATTTTCCAAAAATGGTCTGGACTTTTTCCCCTAAGCCCAAAAAAAATTCCACAATCTTCATCCAAATGCTTAACATACTACACTTTTCTTTAAAAAAAAGTCATGAACTCCTGGAATGTAAACAAAAACCATTACCCTCCAGGGGTCTCTCTCTCATACAGTACTTTAAAGGAAACCACCATGCTCCAGAAATCATAAAACCTCTTCAGACACAGAAAATCCATATGCCAATAGTTAAAAATCCGACCTCAAAATAAATGTTAAAATACATATAATTTGCACATCTTACAGTATAAAGCACATATGTAAGCAAATACACCATTAATAAGCCCCATGGCAAACTACCTATTCCACATTTAGAACCTTCTCAGGTACAGTAGTGCCTATCACCGTCATTAACATTCTAAGCAGCCTACATATCAAGGTGGACCAGAGAAGTCCAATATTGTAAGTCAGCTGTTTAATAAAAGTCTTCAGAGTAGTATTTTATATTAGTCACATAACTGTATTGTAAATGAACATCCGGTGTGATTAGATCACAAATAAATCAATGAGTTATTAGTTCACAGCAGGTAAACAAAATACATACAGGTTTGATCAAATTCAAAATACAACACATCCTTACTGTCAATCTTCAGGATGTGGGTGTTGCTGGTAAGGCTCCCTAGTTGCCCTAGGGAAGGTGACGATTATTCCTCAATCTAAACAAAAGGATTCACAGTACTTTTTCCCACACATTTGTATCATGTTTGTCTTGAAACAAATCACTTCTAATTACTCTTTTGCAAACTACTTTAAAGTGTAGCCAAACAATTTTCTGTTTGAAAACCAAACTCTGCAATATTTGCATCCTAACTGTTCATATTTCTTCGAATCTCCTGCTCCCATAGCTGGAAAGCAGCAGAGTACGCAAAACTTTGGCATTACGTCAAAGAATCAGAATCATTACAGGGCAGTGTCTTTTCAACCTACTCTTTAAAAAAAGCGATTATCAGCTTTTCCAATCTATCAATATAACTGAAGTGCTTCATCCCTGGTATCATTCTCCTAAATCTCCCTACACTCCTAAGCCTTTACATCCTTCTTAAAGTGCATTGCCCTGAATTAGTCACAACACAACCTGAGGCAGAATCTGTATTTCAAAGGCTCACCATAACTTCCTTACTTTTGTACTGGAGGCCTTAACTCAAAGCCCAGAATCCTGTATGCATTTTTCCGAAAAAAAAACTGTCACAACATTATGTACACATAATTGCAGGATTCTCTGCACCTGCAGCACCTACTCCTCCCACTTATAATTGTATGTTTCATTTTATATTACCTTTCTTTATTCTTCTTATCAAAACATACCATTTTGTACTTTTCCGCATTAAATTTCATTTGTCATATATTTAGCCACTTCAGCAGCTTGTATATACCTTGATATACTTCAGTTTTGTCTCCTTTATAGTTTTTAGAATTGTATATAAATATATGAATTAGGAGCAGGATAGGCCATCTCACCTCTTGAACCAGTTCTGCCATTCAAAGAGATCACAGATAATTACTTCACATGCCTGTCTACACCTGATAACCTTTCACTCCCTCATCCATCAAGATCTCTCGCTCTCTTTGCCTTAAAAAAATATTCAAAGGCTCAGCTTCCACCAACTGAGGAAGCGATTTCCAAAGACTCCAGATGCTCCCCGTAAAATTTGACGCATTGTTTCAAAACCTGATGCAAAGTAATTTTGCCATTAACCACCCAATCCCTCCCGATCCTTTGTGGTGATTGCATGAGGATAAAACATAAATAAAAAATCCCATAAACAAACATCAATTCTGTATGCATTGATGAGTCATGTTGGGCCCGATGACCTCAACTAGCTATGTGTTTTGTGATCCTTCTCCCACCCCGCCAAAGTCAACATACTTCAGCAGCAATCTACTTAACATGTACTTCTTTTTTTTAAACTACACATCCAAAATGATTTACATCTGCAATATACTGACTGAGCCAATAAATTTAAACCTCTGAATCTGCATCTGTTCTCCCTCATTACTTCTCTTTCTCCTTATTTATTAACCATTTGAAAATCTTGAAGTCACGTTTACTATACCCTCGTACAAATCACAGATCAATTATAAAAGGTCCCAACTGCAATCTCCCGCAGTATTTCACTTGTAACCATTTCAGACTCTCAGAAGTTCTTATGTAGCCATTCCCCACTTTCTGCTTTTAAAAGCTAATGTAAATTTTGAATTTAGAATAAAGTTTAAAACCCACTTGTGATTTTTTTTTAACCTCTGTACATCATGAATTAATGACTATCATGTCAAATCATTTCTGAAAATTCATGTAGGAAACATCAGCTGCATTTCCTTTGTCCATAAGGCCAACAACTTCAAAAGCTCAGACGATTAAGCATCACCTACTCCTGAAACTATGCACATTATTTAAACTTAAACATTTTTATTCAAGTGTCTTAATTGGAGCTCTCACAATGGCTTCATTATTAATAATCAACTTCCACTTGCAACCGGACATGGTAGAACACACTATTCATTGTGTAAATCTGAATGGCCTCTTTGCACTTAATGGAGACGTACACTTTTCCATGATCTCAAAACATTTGAGACCAAGTTTTTCTGCTTTCTTCAATCTACAGGCTTTTAAAATTCAAGCTAATCTTCATCCAAACAGCCACTACTTCTTAAACTTACCTTACCTTCTCTCATATATTTCAATCTGTCCCAGTTAGCCTTAGTTTCAGTTCTAAGGAACACAGGAACAGGAGAAGGTCATACAGCCCATCAAGCTTACCCCATCATTCTAGATCATGGCTGATCATCTTATCAATGTCATATTACTGCATTATTTCCATATCCCTTAATATCACAACTCACCAGAGACCTATTGTTTTGTCTTGAACATGCTCAATGATTCAGCTTCCACAACTCTCTAGGTAGACATTTCCAAAGAATTAGTGAGTGAAGAAATTCCTCTCAACCCAAACCTTAGGATAAGGTGCAGAACATTTAAGACTACATCCCTGGTTCTTCAGTAACCAGCCATGGAAACATCCTATCCATATCCACACTGAATCTTACCAAATTCTTACAGGACACAATGAGATTGCCTCTCATTCTTTGAAGACTAGAGAATACAAGCTGTGTCCTCAATTTCTCCACGTAAGACTATCCCACCATCCCAATGAACGTTCACTGAACTCCTCTATGGCAATATATTGTTCATTAGGCAAAGACAGCAAAACTGTACATAATACTCCAGGTGATCATCGGGCTGCATACAATTGCAGCAAAACAGCTTTACTTCTGAACTCAAATATCCTTGAAATCAATGGTGAATTAGCATATTATCCTTTCTAATTGCTGTCTGCACCTGCATACTAGCTTTTAGTGACTTATGGAAAAGGACACCCAGACTCTTATAGACACCCATACATTTACCAACCTCTCACCATTCAAGAAATGTTCAGTTGTAATCATTATAATCTGTCTGCTAAATTCTAGCCTATTCACTTAATGTGTCCAAGTTCTCAAGGCCTCAGTGTACCCTCCTCAACTCAGATGCACCCCCAATTTGGTGTCATCAACAAATTTGGAAATATTAAACTGATCGCCACATACAAATCATTTATATAGATTATAAACAGTTGTGGACCTAGCACTGATCTTCATTGTACCTCATTAATAACATTCTCACATCTTGAGAATGATCAGTTTATTCCCACTGTTTTCTCAATCTCTATTAATATATCTCGTAACCTGTATTCCATTCCTTCATTCACTACTACTGAGGGATCTTACCAAAGGTCTTCTGAAAAATCCAAAAATGTACTACATCCGTTAGAGTTTAGAATCCCTACAGTGTGGAAACAGGCCCTTTGGCCCAACAAGTCCACACTGAGCCTCAGAGCATCCCACCCAGACCCATCACCCTATAACCCACTGGATCTACACATGCCTGAACACTACGGGCAATTTAGCATGGCCAATCCACCTAGCCTGCACATCTTTGGGCTGTGGGAGGAAACCGGAGCACCCGGAGGAAACCCACGCGGACACGGAGAGAATGTTTAAACTCCACACGGAGCGGCACGGTGGCTCAGTAGTTAGCACTGCTGTCTCACAGCACCAGGAGCCTGGGTTCGATTCCATCCTCGAGTGACTGTCTGTGTGGAGTTTGCACATTCTCCCCGTGTCTGCATGGGTTTCCTCCAGGCGCTGCGGTTTCCTCCCACTGTCCAAAGACGTGCAGGCTAGGTGGATTGGCCATGCTAAATTCCACTCTGTTCTGGGATGTGTAGATTAGGTTGGTTATAGGGGAAATGGGTCTGGGTGGGACGCTGAGAGAGTCGGTGTGGACCTGTTGGGCTGAAGGGCCTGTTGTTTCCACACTGCAGGGAGTCGAAGTCAAATCCATTAGGTTTTCCATCATCTATGCTACAAGCAACATCCTCAAAACTCTAAGTTTATGAAACATGATTGCCCTTTCATAACTATGTTGACCCAAATTAATTTTGCTCTTAATTTCTAAGTGTTCATTGATCATGTAATTGATAATGCATTCTGATATTTTCCCTCCCTAGGGCATCATGCTAACAGATCTAGAGTTCGCCAATCTCACAATTCCGTCTTAAATCATGGGGTTATATTTGATACCTTCCAGTTAGTAGGAACCTCACCAGGATCTGTAGAATTATGAATAATAACCAAGAATGTATCCATTATCACAACTGCTACTTCCTTCAACACTATGGGATGAAGCTCTATAGACTATAAAAGAGTTACAGCATAGCTTTGAGGCAGCGGGATTTGAGTGCCCTCGCGCATGGTTTGCAGAAAGTTAGTTGAGTTAATAAGAGAGAACAAATGGAATTTTGGCATTTATTGCTAAATTTAGAACTGTACTGCACAGGAAACAATATGCTGAAAGGCCTGTTCTCGGCCAACCATGACACCATTCTAAAATTAATCACATCTACCTATACATGGTCTGTATCCCTCTCTTCCCTTCCTGTCCGTACTTCTGCCTAAATGCCTCTTAAATGGTGCTATTGTATAGGCTTCTACCACCTCCCCTGTCAGCGCGTTCCAGGCACCTACTGCCCTTTGTCTAAGAAACTTGCCTTGCGTATCTCTTTTCAACTTTGCCCCTCTCACCTTAAACCTATGCACCCTGGTATTTGACATTTCCACCCTCCAACTAGCTACCCTATCCATGCCTCATAATTTAAATATACTGTCATCAGGTCACTCCTCAGTCTCTGATGCTTTAACGAAAACAATTTAAGTTTATCCAACCTCTCCCTATAGCTAGTAGACTCCAATCTAGGCAACATCCTGGTAACCCTCTTTTGCACCCTCTCCAAAGCCTCCACATCCTTTCTATCGTGTGGCAACCAGAACTGCACTCAATCCTCCAAAATGCGGCCAACTAAAAAGTCTTATGAAGTTGCAACAGGACTTGCCAACTTTTAAACTCAATGCCCGGACCGATGAAGACAAGCATACTGTACATTTTCTTTAGCACCTTATCAACTTGTACTGCCACTAAAAGGCAGCTATAAACGTCCACACGATTCTTCTGTATGTCAATGCTCCTGAGAGTCCTGCCATTTACTATACACTTTCCTGTTGCATTTGACCTCCCAAAACGCATCACCTCACATTTGTCCAGATTAATCATCATCTGCCAATTCTCTGCCCAACTTTCCAACTGATTATACCCTGCTGTATATTTTGACAACCTTCCTCGCAATCCACAACTCAAATTTTCATGTTATCTGCAAGCTTAAAAATCAGACCATATACATTTTCATCCAAAACATTTGTGTTATAAACAGAGCTCCCAGCAGAGATCCTTGTGGAACAGCAGTGGTAACAGACCTACAGTCAGAAAAACACCCTTGCATAACTACCCTTTCTTCTGACCAAGCCAGTTTTGTACTCAACTAACCAATTCATGTAACTTAATCTTCTGGACCAGCTAACTGTGAGGGACCTTGTCTGATGCTTGAGCAAAGTCCATGTAGACAACATCCACTGCCCTGCCTTCAATCAGCTTCGTCATTTCCTCAAAAGACTCAATCAAGACCTCCCCTGCACAAAGTCATGCTGACTATCCCTAACAAATCAATTCTTTTCCAAATATAAGTAAATCCTGTCCCTAAGAATCTTCTCCCATAATTTCCCTACCATTAATGCAAGGCTCACTGACCTATGATTTCCTGGATTGTCCCTGATGCCCTGCTTAAACAAAGGAGGAACAATGTTGGCTAATATGCAGTCTTCTGGGATGATGCCTGTGGCCAAAGAACATACAAGGATCTGTCAAATCCACAGCAATTTCTTCTCTTGCTTCCTTCAGTATCCTGGGATAGATGCCATCAGATCCTGACAACTGCCTGACATTTCACTGTTCTGACACAATAACAGTTAATTTGGTATAATACCTAGAAGCAAATTAAATGTTTCTGAAAAGATAAGAAAAGTTCATAAAAGTTTCATGAAAACTTAAAAACATTAATATAATATTAAGATAACAAACACTTACGAGATTCCCTCTTCATCACCAGGTTGTCGTAATTGTAAGTCTGTTAATTCAGTTTCTTGTTCTTCATCTGATATACTTTCAGAACTATGAGTCACTCCTATTAGAGGTTTCATAACGTCCATGTCTATAACAGCAATACACAATTTTTTTTTCGTATTTTCACTATTACAGTATGCTTTGATTAATCTGGATTCATGCATGCCACAGATTTTAAAAAAGCAACATGCCCAGTAACAGAGAATTGGAAAAGAACCCCAAATCCATTTACCTTAACCTTTAAAATTTTAATGTCCATTTTTCCTATCAAGACATGTGAAGCTTATTCAGAAAGAATCAACTGTACACTAAAAACTGCCAAAACTGGAAAGTTGAAATAAAAGCAGAAAATGCTAGAAACGTGCAGCTGGTCAAGCAGCATCTGTGGAGGTCAAAACAGCTAATAGAGTGCTGGTGTATTTGCATGAGAAATGTCTTTCATCAGTTGGAACCAAGGCCAAATAAATTCAATAAAGCTTTTTTTCAATAAAAATATCATTACTTCACAATTCAGAAAAACAAAAATGCTAAATGAAGGTTGTGTGATTTAGCAAAAAAAAGACTCGAGTATTTGAAGGGGTGTCACTCTTTTTTTAAAACAATGTGGTTATAAAATTGGGAATGCCCCTTGACAGCAATAATTGCAACTTTACCCGTATAGTAGAAAGTGTAAGAACATGCAAAGATTTTAAAAAGCTATGCTAAATGCAGCTTTTGAAAATTCTTCAATAGTCCACAAGATAGATTATTAAATTATGCATCCGAGAACAGAAGTTTCCTTTGGCCTGCTCAGTTTACTGTGTTGGCCATTAATCATGGTAATTCTATCCTTTCATGGATATCACTGACCCCACAAATGAGTTGGCGGCAGCTAATGGCAGGACTCAAATATAGCTTCACATCACACTACAGTGGTCAGTCTTTAAAGATAAATTCCTATGAAATATGGCAAACAAAATTCACACATTCAAACTAGACCCACTTCCAATAAAAGCAGCGCAATTCCTCCCAACTAAATGCAGCGAGGGGGAGACAGTGACATAACACAAATTACTTTTTCAGTTAATCACAATCAATCAATCAGGTCTGAACCCTGCCACAGTACCAAACAGGTTAAAGTCACAAAACGACATCCTATGTGATTGTGACAAAGGTCATCTATTTCACACATCCTTCTAAACCTGTCTGTAGCTTTTGACACAGTTGATCAGCCTCTTCTAATGCCACTACTTCAGTGTCCACTTGCACTCACCTAGTACTATTCTTATCTATCCAAGCACAGCCAGAGATATAATCTGCCACAGGTTCTTTCACACTTCTACACTATTACTCTTATCCCAAAGTTCCTATCCATAAGCTTCTCTTGTTTGTCTTGCATTCTTTCGCTCAGCAACATCATTGAAAACAAAATTAAAACTGCATATTTCCCTGCCACATTATTACCTTCCTCAACCACTCCACTCATACCAAATTGAAAAATGTGACTTACAGAATGTGACAAGCAGAAAAGACCCCCCCTTCCAAACAGCTGCTGGTTTCAGTCCGCACTACAAACTTCAACTCTCTCACTGGCAATTGTGAGAAATTCAAGTAGGCTGTTCACAATCTAGTGTCATATTTGGGCCCAAAATTAGTTTCTAACCAAGTATCTGCACCATCACTAAGAACATTCATGCTCACCTCTAACATTGTTTCAGCAGCAGATGGACACTCAACACGCTACATGTTACCTCTCTATTACACTTCCAATGCACTCCTTGCCGGTTTCAATTCTTTCATCCTCTACAAGCTTAAATTTACTTCAAGATTCAACCACATTGCTGAAACTCTGCAGGCACATGGAGACACGTAGCTAACAGGAAGCAGATCTCCTTCCTGTAAGGCCATTAATGAAACAGATGAAGTGTAAATATATGTAAGTGATGTTCACTCTACAAGGGTGATAATTCATCTCTATCATAAAATGCTCATCCCATGAATAAATTTTAAAAAAGTCCTTGCTCCATTGAATCTGCATTGGTCAAAAACAAACACCTAATTATTTTAATCCTACTTTCCAGCACTCGGTCCATATCCTGAATGCCTTAGCATTGCAAGTGCACATCTAAACATTTCTTAAATAGTATGAGGGTTCCTGCCTCTATTACCCTTACAGCCATGAGTTCCAGATTCCCACCAACCTCCGAGTGAAAAAAATTTCCTCACATCCCCTCTAAACCTCCAGACCGTTACCTTAAATCTATGCCCCTAGTCATTGATACCTTCACCAAGGAGAAGAGTTCCTTCCTGTCTACCATATCTATGGCCCTCAATTTTATACATCTTAAATCATGCACCTCCAGTCTCCTCAGATCCAAGGAGACCAACCCCAAGTCATCTAATCACGTTTCATAACAAATTCTCCAGCCCATGCAACATCCAGGCAAATCTCCTCTGCATCCTCTCCATGTAGTCACAACCCTTCCATAATGTAGATGCCAGAACTGCACACAATATTCTAGCTGTGGCCTGTACAGTTTTGTGCAGTTTCAGCATAATCTCCCTGCTCTTAAACTCTGTGCCTCAGCTAATAAAAAGTCTTCTTAACCACTTCATCTGCCTGGTGTGCCAACGTAAGGGTCAGTTGGACATGCATTACCAAGGTTCCTCCAATCCTCCGTGCTTCCCAGGGGCCTGTTTATCATGCATTCTCTTGCCTTGTTTGTCCTGCCCGCATGTCATCTCACATTTATATGGACTGAATTCCCAACCACCTGATCAGTCTGTCTCGATCCTCTTGTAATCGAAGGCTATCCTCCTCACTCTTTACCACTTGAAAAATTTTCATATCATCCATGAACTACCAAACAACTTCCTCCAATTAAGTCTAAATCATTTATATGTAACACAAACTGTAAGGGCCCCAGCAATTATAAAGAACTCCACCAGACATGGGCTTCCAGTCACAAAAATCACCCCTCAGCCATCATCTTCTGCTTCCAGCCACTCAGCCAATTCTAATTATACACAAATTTCCTTCAATCCCATTGGCTCTTACTTTTGCTATCACTCTCCCATGGGTGACTTTATCAAATGCCTTGCTGAAGTCCAAGTAGACCACTTGAAATGCATTGCCCTCATCCACACCTGGTCACCTCTTTGAAAAATTCAATCAAGTTGGTCAGACATGACCATCCCTTAACAAAAAGATGTTGACTGTTCTTGATTAATCCCTGCCTCTCCAAATGTAGATTAATTCCATCCCTCAGAATTGCATCCAATAGTTTCCCCACCACTGAGGTTAGACTGATTGGCTGGTAGTTTCCTGGTTTATCCCTTGCTGAATAACAGTAACACATTGAACATTATTGCCAGCGCCCATGCTATTTCCTCCCCTGCCTCATTCAACAACCTGGGATACATTTCACCCAGGCCTCATATTAAGCCTCCAGACCACTCAGAATCTCCTCTCTATCTATGCTAATTATTAATTTTTTTTTTTTTTTTTTTAAAAATCTTATCACTCCTTCTCACTGATTTCCATTCCCACATCATCCCTCTTACAACTGAACAGTGACACTAAGTATTCATTTAGAACACTACTTTATGCCCTCCAACTCCATGCACAAATTACCCTGTGGTCCTTAATGGGCTTTAATCATTCCCTAGTTATCCTTTTACCCTTCATGCACATGTAAAATACCTTAGGATTTTCCTTTGTTTTAGCTGCCATGATCATTTCGTGCCCCTTGTTCCTTCTCATAGTTTCCTTTTAAAAAGCTCCTCTGGCACATTCTATACTCCTCTTCGGGCACTGCTATTTTGAGTCCTCGGTATCTGCCTTAAGCCTCCCTCCATAAGCCTCTTTTCTTAATCCTACATATCCCTCGACATCCAGTGTTTGATGGATTTGTTGGTCCCACACTCTCCTTACAGGAACTCGTTGGCCCTGTTCCTTCTCTATTTCCTTCTTGAATGCATCCCACTGCTTCGACACAGATTTACCAAAATATATCTGCTCCTACTGCAGTCCAACCACATCATATCCGATCATATTAAAACTGGCCTTCTCCCAGTTTAGAACTTAGATTTCAAGCCCATCCTTGCCCTTTTCCACAATAATCTTGAATCTAAGAGAGTTATGATTGCTGTCTGCAAAATGCTCCACCACTGACACTTCAGCCACTTGTCTGGTTGCACTACCTAAAATTAAGTCCAGGCATGCCCTTCTTTGTACGGCCTTCTCCAAAAGTGGTTCTGAACATTCCGGATTCAAATATTTCCTTCATTGGCAGCCGTATTACAATTTCAAATACCCCAGGATTTGTGATTCCCTCTAGTCCTCTCGGACTGACTTGCCACCATTAAAATGTCACGATGGCTGTGGTTAGCACTGCTGCCTCACAGTGCCATGGGCCCAGGTTCGATTCCACCCTCAGGCGACCGTCTGCATGGAGTCTGCACATTGTCACCATGTCTGTGTAGGCTTCCTCCCACAGTCTGAAGATGTGCAGGCTAGGTGGGTTAGACATGAGGAAATGCAGGGGTAGGGGAATGAGTCAGGATGGGATGCTCTTTGAAGGGGTGGTGTGGACTTGTTGGGCCAAATGGCCTGTTTCCACACTGTAGGGATTCTGTGATTTCTGAACTTAATCACCAAGACACTCCTTAGAACCTTACTCGAGTCAAATTTTCAATCATCTCATTGTGTAGGTGAACTCAAACTTTGTTTAAATGATGTGTCCCCCAGATATTTCCCAGGAACTTTATAATGTTTGAAGCACTAACCAAGTTTTCTTTTGCCAAAGTATTTCATTATGTAACTTCTCTCCATAGGATTATTATCAATTTCTCAGGTGTTTGTGGGACATCAGTATTGTAGTGCACAATCTGTGCACTACAGTATTACTAAGCAATTGATATCCTTGATTGATGTATTTATTCCCATGTTCCAAACTCAACAGATTTGATATTCCTACCATATTGTTCCTTTAAACTTAGCAGTCTTTCAATTCAGCATCTTGGCTGACATTTTGTGTTAAGTGATGAAAGTACAGCACTCATCTTCTACTAGTCATTTGTCAGCGCAGATTTTTCATAGACGTTTTCACAGCAACTTACTATTTTTGGGATACCATGCATTTCAGTACCCTCTACACAAGAAGAGATCCACATGAACGAAGGAAAGCAACAGCATGCCTCTGAACTAGACTAACAAATCATCCTTTAGGCACAAAACATCTAAATCATAAGTGAAAATTAGAATATTTAATCTAACATCTTGCACAATAAGTGATAGAGGGAGAGAAAGATGGGAAGACGACAGGTGAGGCACATTAAATGAAAGATTTCCAGTTATACTTAAAATTCAAAAGAATGAGCCTCTCTGCTTGTCAGATACATTTAAACAGCCCGAGAAGTTGCTCTTGTAGCCATCAAGACAGTGTTAAAAATTCACTTATACTTAGGTAAATAAATCCTAAGCTTTTCTGCGTTTTAGTGGGTATCTAGTGAACAGATATCACACTTCTTTACACCTACTGATTGCGTGCCAAATACAATGCTGATGTACCAGTGTTACTGTGCTTCAGGAGCAACACAGAAATTGACTTCCTTATTCTGCATTATCAACTGTGCATTTTCAGATGCCAGGGGTGTCAATCTAGATCTTGAGGACTTAATGAGCAGTGTTGTTGAGGTTATCGTATTTGACATGGTATACATGAACTAAGGAAACTCTTTTGCTAAGGTCCGCCATAACAGACCAGTCAAGAAAACGACAGCCCAAGAGATCCAAGCAAAGTGGATTTTGGAGCATGGCCCCATCATCAGGTGAAATGAGAGGGAAGCACACAGACACAGAATTTAAAGGTAGAGAGGTCTAAAGATCATACAAATGCTGTGAGTGGAGTGTTGAATAATAAGTCTCTGCAGGTGATCAAAAGTGTCAGATGGTGTGAGCAAAGTGCAACAGCTGAATAACAACGAAGGGATGACCTATAATCCGATTAAATGAAGCAGAGAGATAATTACAAGATATTAAAAATAAGGTGGCGATGGAGACAAATCAAATGACTGGAATCACACAATAGGTACAAGAGTCGCATGCCGAGGATCTAACTGAAGTAATAAGTAATCCAAAACTGTACAAACTAATTAAGGTAGCGAGATCATAACAATTTATCAAGGTGACAGTGTCAAAACAGGACAGTAAGGGAGATTTTACAGATACAAAACAGTGTGGTGGGGTCATACGTAGCACGACATGAACCCAAGATCACGGTGGAGGCCGTCTTCATATGTTTGGAATTTAACTTTCAGTTTCTGCTCAGCAATTCTGGGTTGTTGTGTCTCTTGAAAGCTGCCTTGGTGAACACTTACCCAAAGATCGGAGGCTGAATGTCCTTGACCACTGAAGTGTTCCCCAACTGGGAGGAAACATTCCTGTCTGGCAACTGTTGCGTGGTGTCCATTCATCCGTTGTCAGTGTCGGCATGGTCTTGACAACATACCATGCCTTGGGGCATCCTTGCCTGCAGCGTACGAGACAGATAACATTGGCCAAGTCACACGAGTAACTGTCATGTATGTGCTGGGTGGTGTTCCCACTTTGATGGTAGTATCTATGGTGATGATCTGACAGGTCCTGCACAGGTTGTGTGGTGTTGTGGGTAGTTTGCTGTGAACGATGGTCTGTTTAAGGTTTGGCAGTTGTTTGAAGGCAAAAAGTGGAGGTGTACAGATGATCTTGGCGAAATGCTCATTGTCATCGATGACGTGTTGAAGGCTGCAAAGAATATGGCGTAGTCTCTCTGCTCCTGGGAAGAATGTACGATGAAGGGTACTCTAATCGGTAGTATCCTGTGTCGGTCTTCTGAGGAGGTCATTGCAGTTTTTCAATGTGGCATGTCTGACCTGGCGATTAAAGAGTTGAGCATCATATCCCATTTCTATGAGGACGTGCTTCACAATCTGTAAATGTTCGCAACGTTCCTCCTCATCAGAGCAGATCCTGTATATGCACAGGGCCTGTCCGTAAGGGATGGCTTCTTTAATATGCTCAACTCATCGATCACCAGTTCCAACATGCCACAGCAAAAAACCACAACAGCCTCCTCAAGACAGATACTGGATACGACTGATACAGTATCCTTCATCATACAGTATTTCCATGGAACAGAGAGACTATGCCATGTTCGTCACAGTCTTCAATATATCATCGATGACTACCCCTGCACTTCTCGCTATTAAACAATTGCTGAATCTTAGACAGACCATCATTCGCAGCAAATTAGCCAGCCTTCGGGACAACATCAACCACAACACATCTATATCTAATGTTATCTACATCTATTGTTATCAATGATTAAGATGGGAATGTACAAGGCATGATTAGCAAGTTTGTGGATGACACTAAAATAGGCCGTATTGTGGACAGTGAGGAAGGTTATCAGAAATTGCAGCAGGATCTTGATCAGCTGGGGAAGTGAGCTGAGGAATGGCAAATGGAGTTTAATATAGCTAAGTGTGAGGTGTTTCATTTTGGAAAGTCAAATCAAGGTCAGAGTTTCATGGTGAATGGTAGGGCCTTGAGTGTCATGGAACAGCGGGACCTTGGAATTCAAGTGCACGGTTCTCTGAAAGCAGAGTCACAGGTAGACAGGCAGTGAAGAAGGCTTTTGGCATACTGGGGGATTGAGTACAGAGATTGGGAAGTTACAGTGCAGTTGTACAGGACGTTGGTGAGGCCACACTTGGAATATGGTGTTCAGTTTTGGTCACCTTGCCTCAGGAAGGATGTTATTAAACTGGAAAGAATGCAGAAGAAATTTACAAGGATGTTGCCAGGACTCAAGGGACTGCGTTATCGGGAGAGGTTGGACAAGCTAGGACTTCTTTCTTTAGAGCATAGGAGGCTGAGGGGGGAATCTTACAGAAGTGTATAAGATTATGAGAAGCATGGATAGGGTGAACGCACTCAGTCTTTTTCCCCAGGGTTGGGGAAGCGAGGACCAGAGGGCATCAGTTTAACATAAAAGAGGGGAAAGAATACATGGGAACCGGAGGGGCAACTTTTTTTTTAAAAAAAAAGAAAGGTGGTACGCTTATGGAATGAGCTGCCAGCAGATATGGTTGAGGCAGCTACATTAACAACACTTAAAAGGCATTTGGACAAAAGCATGGATAGGAAAGGGTTTAGGAGGACGTGGGCCAAGTGCAGGAAAATGGGGTTAGCGTGGATGGACATTTTGGTTGGCATGGACCAGTTTGAGCCGAAGGGCCTGTCTCCATGCTGTAGGACTCTATAGCAATACACAATCTCTGCAAGACATGTCAGACCATCGACATGGATACTACCATCACATGTGGGAACACCACCCAGCACATACAGAGCAGATACTCATGTGACTTGACCAATGTATCTGGCTTATACGCTGCAGGCAAGGATGCCCGAGGCACGGTATATTGGCGAGACCATGCAGATGCTATGAAAATGGGTGAATGGACACTGCGCAACAATTGCCAGACAGGAATGTTCCCTCCTAGTCAGGGAACACTTCAACAGTTAAGGTCATTCAGCTTCCAATCTTCGGATAAGTGTCCACTAAGGCAACCTTCGAGATACACAGGCCTCCAGTCTGAAAAGCAACCTTCCACCACCATTTTCTGTCTACCTCAAGCCAGTTCTGTATCCAAATGGCTAGTTGTCCTTGTATTCCACATGATCTAACCTGGCTAACCAGGCTACCATAAGGAACTTTGTCAAACTCCTTACTGAAGGCCACCACTCTACCCTAATCAATCCTCTTCAAATAACTTTAAATCAAGTTAGTGAGACAATTTCCCATGCACAAAACCATGTTGACTATCCCTAATCAGTCCTTGCCTTTCCAAATACAGGTACATGAAAATCCTGTTCCTCAGGAGTCCTTCCAACAACTTTCCCAGCATCATATTACATTTTGAATTGAATACTTTATAAAATAGGCAAGACAAATTGTTTGACCACATATCTTCACAAAAAAAAACTTAAGACACATCTAGTTGTCTTATCTGACCACAGCCACATACATGACAAGAATATACACTGATCAAGGGAGTATTCATTCCAAAAAGATATGCCTGATGTTGTCAAATTTTGCTTCTAATACATGAATGGAACGTTCTACATTCAACAAGTTATCACAGAGAGTCAGAGTTAGACAGCATGGAAGCAGAGCCTTCAGTCCAACTCATCCATGCCAACCAGATATTGTTGTTAAACTTTGCTTCTAATGTATGAATGAAATGTTCTGCATTCAACAAATTATCTCAGTTATACAACATGGAAAGATACCCTTCGGTCCAACTCGTCCATGCCAACTAGATATCCTAAACTGATCTAGTCCCATTTGTCAGCATTTTGCCCGTATTCCTCGAAACCCTTCTATTCATGAACCCATCCAGACGCCTTTTACATACTGGGTACATTCATAAATATAAGTGTTAGGCACACGGCAAGAAATTAAAAAAAAAACTAGTCTCTTTAACCGAAAAATAAAACGTTCGCACGTCTAAAAATAGTCAGTTTCTTTATAAACAACAACATTTTCATGGGAAGTTACTTCTCCTCCTCATAATCACAGCAACTGTGTTTTTACTTGCTAATGAACTGAGCCGATCGGCTTGCTTTTGGTGCATTAACCATGAGTTCTGCAGTGTTGTATCATAACTGGAAGGCAGCTTCCCCACCTAGTCCCCTGGCCTCAGCTCCAGCCCCAGTAATACCGATTGCCCAATTACCTATTTCCTCCCCGGGCTCCATGTCAGTTGCTGCGCCACGTCACACGCCGCCTCCTCCTACAACCGATTTCCTTGCTTCAAACCAATTCTAAGCAACAAAAAGAGAGAGAGAATACTGGCGTTTTCAGATATAAATTTTGACAGGCCGCTGCTCGAGATAAACGTGAGTCTGATGTTTTATCCTCCCACTTCGCAGGAAATATTAACCCCTTGGAGGAAGCAAATTCAAAAACTACAAGTCCACCGAGCAGGCGTCGATCTTCCCCGGCGTCAGCCTCTCAGGAATGCCCACACTGTCAACGGCCAGTTTTAACTGCAGCATGAGTCGGGCATTGATGAAACAGATACAAACACAGTCACACCGTGAGAACTCAGCCCCCCTGCACATCCCCAAAACACAAATGTCAAAACCCAGAGAGAGCGCATGTGCAGTCTCCTCTCCCCTCCCCACCGAGCCCAGACTGCGTGTGCGCAGAGCCTGTCTCAGGCTAAATGTGTGCTCTTCTGAAAGTGAATGTACAGTCTCTCGACTGCTTGCCCAGGGAATATTTAAATTTAGTATTTTCTTTCTGGCAGACTGGGCCCATGCATTTTCCACACAGATTTTCTTCCCTTGATTTTAATTTCCTGATTCACTTATCTGGACACTTGATATTCCAATGAATTTAGGTTTTTTTTACACCAGACCTTTGGAATGTGTTTGCAGTAGTTTTATGGCTTTAATTGCCCAATAAATATCAGAGAAGAATTCGGTCATTCAGATCATCAAGTCTGCTCTGCCATTCGATCAAGATTGATATGTTTCTCAATCCCATTCTCTTGCCTTCCCCTGTAACCTTTGATCCCCTTACTAATCAAAAACCTATCTATCTTTGTCTTAAAGACATTCAATGACTTGGTTATCACAGCATTCTGCAGCAACCAATTCCACAGATTCACCACTTCTACCTGAAGAAATTCCTCCTCAACTCAGTTCCAAAGGGTCCTCCCTTCACTGAGACTGTACCCTCAGGTCCCCATCTCCCCTACTAGTGGGAGCATCATCTCTGCATCCACTCTATCCAGGCCTGTCAGTCTTCTGTAAGTTTCAATGAGATCCCTTCCTCATCCTGGATGAGCAGCATGGACAAATTGGGCTGAAGGGCCATAAAATCTATGACTCTATAACTCCACCGAGTACAGAACCAGAATCCTTAACCGCTCCTCATATGACAATCCTTCACCGCTCCTCATATGACAATCCTTCATGCCCAGGATCATTTTTGTTCCGAGGGTCACCAGACCCAAAACGTTAACTCTCATTTTTTCTTCGCAGATGCTGCCAGACCTGCTGGAGCTTTTCATGCAACTTCTGTTTTTGTTCATTCTTGTAAGCCTCCTGACCCCCTCCAACACCAGCACATCCTTCCTTAGATACAGGACCTGTCCTTCCATCTACTTTTGTCATTTGCAAACTTAACACCAATACCCTCAGCTCCTTTGTTCAGATCAGCAACAAATAATTTGAATAGCTGCGGTCCCGACACTGAATCCTGTGGAACTGCACTAGTCACCAGCTGCCACCCTGAAAAAGACAACTTTAAACTCAGCCTTCTGCCAGTTAGCCAATCCTCAATCCATGCCAGTACCTTATCTCGTACACAATAGCCTCATGTTATTTAGCAGCCCTCTGTGTGATACATTGTCCAAGATAATCTGGAAATCCAAACAGATTATGACTACTGGCTCTCCATCTATCTTGCTCATTGCCTGTAGGATTGAGCAAAAATCCTTGTCATTTAAAATACTGGACTAAAACCCTGGGCTTTAAAGATTAAATAAAAAGGCAGCTGGGCTATGCTCTAGGGAAATACACAGTCAGAGACAGCTGCCTGGAACCATTGTTCAATTACAAAATCTAATTCACACCTCAACCCTAAAAGAATAATTCACCAGACCTAAGAAACCAACTTAACCCAGACATCATGGAGCCTTTACAGATACCAAGACATCCAACTTCAATTAATAAGCAGGAAAATTGATGTTTCAGGTCAGGACCCTTCTTCAGAATAAACCCATTTCTGAAAAAGGGTCCCAACATGAAATGTCAACTTTCCTGCTCCTCTGATGCTGCCTGGCCTGCTGTGTTCCTCCAGCTCCACACTGTTGTCTGTGACAACATCATCTACAGTTCTTGCTGTTTCCAACTTCAATTAATATTCATCTACAGAAATACCAGACATTCCACCTACTCAAAATACATTTACACCTACTCTAAACTATCAAGAAGCCAATTCACATCAAAAAAGTGGGGGCAACAGTAATACAATACAATTGGGAAGCACAGATTTGGCGCAAAGGGAAGAGACCTGCAATTTAGTATAATTGCAGGCCCTGTCTCACTTGAAAAAAAAAGTGTAATCCGCCACACAAGCTACCCCTGCAGTTACCACCAGGAGAAGGACTCCAGATAGCTACCACCTCGACAGCAGTCCCTACAGCCATCTCCAACCACCGGGAACCGACCACAACCTGTAGACCTGACAACCGGTGACCTCCGAAAACCACCGACCCGATCGACACCACGAGGCCTCAGACACTTCTGGAGGTGAAAAAAAAAAACAATTGGTTTGCAAAACTACCACAGCATAAGAACAAAACCAAGTACTCACCCAAAGTCTTCATCAAACCACCAGCTATGGCAAGCAGGAATGGCTAGCTGTATTTCAAAATCGCGTTTAACCTCAGTGATGAGTTTATATTCACAAGACCCCAAAATATCCATTAAGCTGGCAGAGGGGAAGGTCCATGGTGACAATGCAGGGAACCCCCAAGGTTAGGAAATCTGATTAAACTTTAAAGAAAGTTAAAGAACCGTTCTGAGGAAGGGTCACCAAGCCCAAAGTGTGTTTTTGTTCCCAATTTACAGCATCCGCAGTTCTTTCAGTTTTCATATGGTCATTTGACCCTGCTCTACAATTCAACATAACCATGTCTGATCTATCTCAACACCATATGCCAGTAATCTCCCATACCCATGGACAGCTTTAACTATGAGAAATTTATCTATTTCTTTCTTAAACATACTTAGTGAGTTTGCCTCCACAGCCTTCCGTAATGCCATTTGCCTTCGTAACTGCTTGCTGCACCTGCCTGCTACTTTTCAATGAGTACAAGGACACCCAAGTCCTTTTGTACATCAACTTTTCCCAATCTATCACCATTTAAAATTGTACTCTACCACTCCAGTTTTCCAACTAAAGTGGACAACTTCAAAGTTATCCATATTGTATTATCTCTTCATTTACTCACTTATTGAACTTGTTTAAACTGCCTTGAAGCTGCTTTGCATCCTCCACACCAGTAACAATCTTACACGCTTTTGTGTCACCAGCAAACTTGGAAGTATTACGTTTGATTTCCTCATTCAAATTTTTGACATATACTATGAATAACAACGGCCCAAGTGCTGATCCCAGTGGTACCCAACTAGGCACCATCTTCCACTCTGAAAAATACCCTTAATTCCTACTTTGGTTCTTGTCTGCTAACTAATTCTCAATCCAAGCCAGTAGATTACCACCAATCCTATGTGCTTGGATTAAGCACACTAACCTTTAATTTAGGACTGTATCAAAAGCTTTTTGAAAGTTCAACTATTCCACAGACCCTTGTGCTGCCTCATCAATTCTATTAGTTATGTCCTCAGAAAATATCAACTAGTTTGTCAAACATCATCTCCCTTATTAACTTAATCCTGTTGCTATTTCCAAAGGTGTTCTGTTATCGCGTCCTTTGTAATAGGCGCCAGCAATTTCTCTACTGCTGATGTTAGATTTGCCAGCCTGTAATTCCTATTTCCTCCCTCCCTCCTTTTTTTTTAAAGGAATAGTGGGCTTATGGTTGCCATCCTACAATCTGCTGGGACTATTCCAAATTTCATAGAACTTAGCATAATGACACCAATGCAACTATTATTTCTATGGCCACCTCCTTTAGTACTCAGGGATGTAGATTATGAGGCCGAGGGATTTATCAGTTTTCAATTCCATTAACTTTTCCAACATTTTTTTTTAAAACCAAGACAAATTTCCTTCAATTCCTCCTCCCCAAAAAATGCCTTTGCTTTTATAACATTTCTGGTAAGTTATTTGTGTTGTCTTCACAGAAGAAAACATAACTGGTTGTTTTAATTTCTCTGCCTTTTTCTTGTTCTCCATTATCAATTCTTTATGTTTAATTTTAAGATTTAACAACTAGGTTTGTAAAAATATGTTCTAACAAATGTTTTATTTCCTGAAACAGAATTTGCTGGGTTATGTTGTCTGATGTGAATGTTTTATTTTGATTGTTCTTTTGAACTATATAAAACCCTTGGTAGGCCACATTTGGAGCATTGTGCACAGTTTTGGTCACCACATTACCAAAAGGATGTGGAAGCTTTGGAGAGGGTGCAGAGAAGGTTTACCAGGATGTTGCCCAGTCCTGAGGAAAGGTTAAAAAAGACTAGGATTATTTTCACTGGAAAGACGGTGGCTAACAGGAGACCTGATAGAGGTCTACAAAATTATAAGAGGCATAGATAGGGTAGATAGTCAGAGACTTTTTCCCAGAGTTGAAGTTTCAATTACAAAGAGGCACAGGTTCAAGCTGAGAGGGCAAAAGTTTGAGGGAGATGAGCAAGGCAAGTTTTTGAAGCAGAGAGTGGCAAGAGCCTGGAATGGACTGCCAGAGGAGGTGGCGGAAGCAGGCATGTTGGTAACATTTAGAGGCATCTGGATGGTTACATGAATAGGGAGGGAATAGAGTGATATGGACCAAATAAGGACAGAAGGTTTGTTTTTCAGTTTAGTCAGGGTATGATCATCAGCACAGGCTTGCAGGGCCAAAGGGTCGGTTCCTGTGCCTTACTTCTCTATTTTGTCCTTTTTTGAGAAAGAACTTATTGTTTCCAACTGTGCATTCATTAACTGATTTTATTTGACAGTTCCTATACTTTCTCTTTGTAGAATCATAAAAGATTTAGAAAAGTAGACTAGGAATTTGAGTTAACAATGGTTTCAATTAACTTCACACATTTACTGATAGTGTAAGTCTTTCTCCCTCAAGTACATTAATTTCATAACTAGTAAAAATAAGTGTTAACTCATCACCTGGGTTGAATTTCATAGGTTGAGAACTCTGTAAATGTCTTCCATTGTTCTAAATATCTTCTGTGTCTTGCATTTATGGTCACTTGTTTCAGACTTCTTCAATAACAAAGATAACCTACTTTCATTTATCTTGTTCCCTACTTTCACAGCTTTAAAGAAACACAAATTGGCCCAGACTTTGCAGTAACATTCACAGTATAATTGTCAGAATTCACTGTCATTGCTCCACCACCATCATTATGCCACTGAAACTGATCACAACATTTGGAGTATGCACAGTTGGTCATCTTTGAAAACATACATAGATGCGGAGGTGCTGGTGTTGGACTGGGGTGGACAAAGTCAGCAATCACATGACACCAGCTTATGGAGCATAGCCTCTTTGTCAGTGTCCTCAGAAGTCTTCACCTGATGAAGAGGCTATGCTCCATAAGCTTGGTGATTTCAAATAAACCTGTTGGACTACAACCTGGTGTCGTGTGACTTCTGCCAACATACACAGAATCAGAGTCATAGAGATATACAGCACGGAAACAAACACTTGGGTCCAACTTGTCCATGCTGACCAGATATCCTAAATTCATCAAGTCCTATTTGCCAGCATTTGGCTCATATCCCTCCAAACCCTTCAGTTGTTTCAGCGGCGGGAGTCCGGGAGGAAGCGCGAGGGCAACCTGGGAAGGT